TGCTGATCTGGCATGTGATGACTCGCAGGAGGATTGCATTAACAAGGTGACTGCCACATGCAATATTGATGAGCTTTGTACCTTTGGCTGCCAACGTGCAGCAGGCGTTTCCGCTCGGCCGGGTGCTCTGGGGGGGTGTCGGAGTCTGCGGCGCTGTAAATATTCACGCCTTTGTGACTTGGTGCTGCACACTCTGAAGCATGTGCTTTGTTTTAGGTGCACATAGAAATCTTTCCCTCTCGAGGCCTGTAATGCAGGTTTTGAAGGGCAATCAGCGTGCTCCTTAATGATGAGGTGGTTGTGTGCTTGAAAAACAGGACGCGTGGAGCTTCCCTTGCAGGCAGTGCCTCAGCTGGAGCGCTGAGCTTTTCTTGGAGCTTTCACCTGTTAAACCTGACTGCATGATAGCAGAGTGCTGCAGTGTCTTTCTGTCTGAGCATAGATTTACATATTAAACAGTGTGTGATGACTAGGAACTGCACGATCCTGCCTTCACCAAGCAGGATCCTATTAACTCTCCCACTCCATCAGGCGTCCGCACACCTGCAGAGCGAGCTGCACAGCGTGGCGTTGGCTGGGATGCTGGCAGAACACAGCTTTGCCAGACTTTTAGAGCGGTTAGCTTTGGACTTCGGAGAATCTGTAAAAATGTGGGTGGAGGACATGACCCAAGCTTATTTTTAGCACCTCCCGTCAGCTGCTGAACGTCTCCCTGTGCTGTCAGGCCAGTCGTGGCAGCGCTGGCTTAGGGGGGGGGGTCGGAGCCCTGGTGCAAACCCCGTTCGTTGTAAGGAAGGGAGAGAGTGGGGCTGACCAAACCCTTTGTGTTTTGCAGGCAGAGAGTATAGGGGATGAAGACTAAATGTGTTTGGTGTTTAACCTGACAATGCATCTTTTTGAAGAACCTGATTTAAATTTTCAAAGGCGTAAATAATAAACTATAACCTATTTACTCATTTGGGGAATGGAATTCCTTTGTTAATTGCAGTTAATCTGAGCTGTATGTGTAAATGAGATGCAATTTCAATCCCAGGACAAGGTTCAGTATGCAGGCCAAGGTTGCTATCCCAGGGCGATCCAGTTTTTATCTTGTATCTCCCTGCTGTGGATGTGTTCCTTCCTGTGTCTGGGTATCCGTCCCCTCCTCTCACATACAGTGGATATTTGAAGTCTTTAGGTACTTTCTTTATGACGTTAATATTTACGTAAATATCCTCATATGTGCTTTTTTGCAATATTACAGTGCGGCTTCTTACCGCTCTTTTCCTTCCCTTCACTAGCACGTGGCTTGTGCTGCAGCCTGAGCTGTACATTCTCTGCTTTCTGGTCAAGTTCTTAAGTGCAGGTTTAGAGAACGTGATTTAGAAAGGCCAAGTGGCAAGGATAGAGCAGCCAGCAACAGCCACGACAAGAACTGGGAACCTGGAACATTCTGAGTTTTGCCTTAAGTATCGAGAGGTGTGTTGCTGTGATGTATCTTTGTTGGAAACAACCCATCCTCCTAGCACTATCTGAACTTGTATCCTGAAGGACTGGTTTGAAGAACACTGGCATTGCCAGCGGAAGCTCACTTAAGTGGTGTCCAAACACGTGGTGTCCTTGTTCTGGTTTTGCACGTGTGCATTTTGTTTAGGGTTGAGTGTGACACCCTTTCAGGAAAAAGGGCTTCTCTAACTAGTCTGCTTGGTTTACTGTCCTGCAGGGCACGCCACTTTTGAACTGGGAGCTACGTGGATTCATGGTTCACATGGAAACCCAGTCTATCATCTAGCAGAAGACAATGGTTTACTTGAAGAGACTACTGATGGTGAGAGAAGCGTTGGACGGATCAGTCTTTACTCCAAGAATGGGGTGGCTTATCATCTTACCAACAATGGGCAAAGGATCCCGAAAGATGTGGTTGAAGAATTCAGTGATTTATACAACGAGGTTGGTATTCGGCTGCTTTGTCAGGTTGTAGATTTGCCTGAAACACGGGGAGCCTGTGACAGTTATAACGTTCCAGGTACAGGGCAAAGGTAGAAAACCAGTAATGTCTTTTATTTCTTTGCAAAAAACCAACACTCCCATCTGTGTAACTATACCCCGTTTATCCCTGGTGTGGGATTAACTCACTGTTGTTAGGAAGAACAATCTTTCCACATTTGTCATCAATTTAATCACTTCCAGCAGCTATTGCTGGGGAGATCCAGTCATTTGCTCTAGAAAGTTGCTACTTAATTAAAAGGGTAAAGGAGGGATCAAATTACTAAACACAGCAGAACGTAAAACCTTAGCAACAACCAGCTAAATATTGTAGCCCTGTGACATTTTATTGATGTTATAAATACCATAGCGTGCTGTGTAGTATGCCAAAGGCAGCGCAGTATCGTAGGAATTGCAAGTTTTCTTGCAGCAGAAGGAAAGGAGCATCTTTTCTGGTAAACTCAAATCAGCATGGACTTCAGTTTAAGGTTATTCTGACTTCTTTTGCTCAGTGTTCAGTGACATCCTCTTCAGTTCAGTGTAGATGGGGGCCTCAGATTGTGACAGAAGAGCTAAACAGAAAAAACCCCCAAACTACTACAGACACAAAACCTATAAATACTAAACAGAAATGTACAAGATGGAAATGAAAATGAATGTTTGGTGGAAAGATTAACCTCTGCTAAAAAAGCAATAAACCAGTGTTAGACAAAAAAAGCCAAATTTACTTTCACATAACTTGGCACTGCTGCCGTCGTGCTAGTGTTTTTTTTTTCAGAGGGAAAATGGGGTTTCTCCCTGATTTATATGTGTTGAACACATGTGAAAAATCAGTGTGAGTTCTATCTGCTTTCAGTGGGAAGACTTGGCCTTAGGTAGAGTGAAGTGAAAGAAGGAGGCTTGCCAAAGTCAGTTATAATTATTCCCCACATTTTATTAACGTGACTTATGATGTGCATTCAGGGGGGTCAGTGCAGAATGTCTAAGCCTCCGGGTAATGTGATCTCTCAGTGGGCTGTATAAAATGGAGGAAGCCGTATTATTTTCATCAGACTGTAGCCATGCCCAAAACCTTCAGATTTTCATCTCACAGTGAACTTCACCAGTATTCGACGCTTGGCTAAACATCCACTAGATTCAGGTTACTCTTGCATACTTTATGTTTAAAAATGTGTCCCTGAGCGTTTAGAAAGCCACCAAGAGAAAAGGCACTGTAGCCTGTAAAGAATTATCAAGAATTGAATGGGGAGGAGAAATGGGGACTTTTTTTTTTTCTTTGAAAAGACTTTTGACGCTGTCGTGGGTCTCTGAACTGGAATCTGTGATAGGATGGCACAAAATCATTACAGTTTTAGAGGAGGGTGGTAGGGATTTCAAAGAAAACTCATTATGGATGGAATTTAGCAACCTGTGGCAGGGAGAGAATTCTTCTTGGACAAATGTAGGTGGAGATAATTCATATGAACAAGTTTTTAATATATTTTTTTTAATATTCATTTTTGACACCGTCTCGCACAGCTTTCTCCTAAGAAAGCTGGAGGTTCATGGCCTAGAGAGGTGTGCACTAAACTGGGTTAAAAACTGCCTGGACGGCTGAGCACAGAGTGGTGGTGGATGGAATTAAATCCAGTGGCAGCCGGTCACACGCGGTGTCCCCCAGGGCTCAGTGTTGGGATGGGTCTTGTTTAACATCTTTATTGGTGATCCAGACGAGGGGATCGAGTGCTCCCTCAGCGAGTTT